TGATTCCTCCAACATTTCTCTTTCTCTAAATTGTTTTGTCTGGCCTAGTTCCTTTGCTTTTCCAAGTAAATTTGAGAATCACTTGTTGATTTCTGCTAAAATTTCAACTTGGATTTTGGTTAGCATTGCATTGATTATATAGGTGAATTTGGGGAGATCTGACATTTTAACAATATTGAGTCTTCTACTCCATAAATATGGCATATTCTCTCCATTTGTATGTCTGTGGATCCTTATATCTGTGTTTTGTCATTTTTCAGCATAGAAATCTTGCACATAATTTCATGAGATTTATACTGAAGTGTTTCATGTTTTGGTGCTATTATATAATACATGGTAGTTTTTAAAAAGCATTAGATTTTCAATTTTTTATTACAAGTATGTGGATACAATTGACCTTTGTATGTGGAATTTGTGTTCTGTGACCTTGCTAAACTCAATTAGTTCTAATAACTTTTTTTGTAGTTTATTTGAGATTTTCTGTATAGACAGTCATGTCATCTGCAAATAGAGACAGTTTTATTTCTGCCTTTCTAATCAATAAACCTTTTATTTCTTTTTCTTGCCTTACTGCACAGGCTAGGATCTCTACTATGATTTTTGAATAGGGGTGTGGTAGGATATTCTCGCATTGTACTTCATCTTAGGAAAGAAGCATTTGGTCTTCTACCATTAGGTATGATGTTAGCTGTGTGCTTTTTGTAGATGCCCCTAATCTGGTTCAGGATGTTCCTTTTTATTCCTGGTTTGCTGAGGGTTTATTATAATTATTATTGTTATTATGAACAGGTGTTGAATTTTGTCAAAAGACTTTTCTGCATTTATTGAAGAGATAATTTTTTTCATCTGTAGTCTGTTGTTATGGTAGGTGACATTGACTGATTTGCAAATAATGAGCCAGCCTTCGATTCCTAGAATAAGTATCTATTGGCTGTGAAGTATTATCCTTTTTATATATTGCTGAATGCAATTTGCTATTTTTTTGTTTAGGATTTTTGTGTCTTTGTTTATGAGGGATATTGGTCTGTTCTTTATTTTAACATCTTTATCTAGTTTTGGTGTCAGTGTAATTCTGGCCTCATAAAAAAAAGTTGACTTATTTCCCCCTTTTCTGTTTTCTGGAAGACGTGTTTAAAATTTCTATTATTTCTTTTTAAATTGTTTGATAGAATTTGAGAATGATGCCCTCTGAAATGTTATGCATTGCATGACTGTTTACCTTTAAATAATAATCTGCTGCTTCAGGTATAGTGTAAGTACCTTAAAACAGTGTTTTCCCATCTATTAATCATATTTATTTCAGATTCTTTTTCTGAAATTCGTATATTATTATTCCAGGTTATCTGTGTGTCTGCTTCTGTTGATTGTCACTTGACAATGAGCCTTTTGTTTCCTTTGCCTTCTTTTTTTGTTTGTTTGTTTGTTTGTTTTTGAGACGGAGTCTCACTCTGTCGCTCAGGCTGGAGTGCAGTGGCACAATCTTGGCTCACTGCAACCTCTTCCTCCTGGGTGTCTTAATTTAATTTAATTTAATTTAATTTGGGAGAGCTAAATAGTTAAACATGAGGCCAAAGTACATAAGAAAGCGGCAGCCTTTTATTGCAAATATGCACACACTCTCGGGCAAGGTTCTCCGCTCCTCAGGTATGGGGCCAGGGAAGTCGCGCCGGCGCTCTCGGGCGAGGTTCTCCGGTCCACAAGTAGGAGGGGTCGAAGAAGTCACACCGGCTCCTGCGGGCGGCAGACTTTTATCCATTGGTACTAGAAGGGGGAGGGCAGTGGGCAGGATAAGGGTGTGATAGGGGCGTCTCCGTAGGCGTGGCCGGGTAAGTTTCGATCTCTTCGGATTGACGTCACCTGGCGCATGCTCGGTTGTCCTGCACTTTCCTGAGCACGGGAAAGTTGGTGATGAAGAACCCGGAAACAATCGAGACTGTGCCATCTTGTTCACCTTCCTCCATTTTGTCCCTTCTCCCTCACCCAAACACTGGGTTCAAGCGATTCTCCTGCCTCAGCCTCCTGAGTAGGTGGGATTACAGGCACGTGCCACCACACCCAGCTAATTTTTGTATTTTTAGTAGAGATGGGGTTTCACCATGTTGACCAGGCTGGTCTCAAACTCCTGACCTCATGATCCACCCGCCTCGGCCTCCCAAAGTGCTGGGATTACAGGCATGAGTCACTGCGCCTGGCCTCCATTGCCTTTTCATTGTAATTTTTGATTTCAGTGTTGGACATTGTGTGGAGGGCTGTAGGCAAGGTCAACAAACGTTTTCTGTAATGGGCCAAATAAGAAATATTTTGAGTTTTGAGAGCCACATGTAGTCCCTGTTGCATATTGTTGTTCTGGTTTTTACTTTTAAAAAATTACCCTTAAAAAATGTAAAACCTGTCAGGGTGCAATGGTTCATGCCTGTAATTCTGGCCCTTTGGGAGACTGAGGTAGGAGGATTGCTTGAGCCCAGGGGTTTGAGACCAGCTTGGGCAGTGTGGTGAGACACCATCTCTACAAAAAAAATACAAAAAATTAACTGGGTGTGGCCACATGTACTGTGGTCTCGCTTTCTTGGGAGGCTGAGTTGGGAGGATGGCTTGAGCCTAGGAGATTGAGACTGCAGTGAGCCATGATCGTACCACAGTACTCCAGCCTGGCAGACAGAGCAAGAACCTGTCTCCAAAAAAAAGAAGAAAAAAAGTAAAGCCATTCTTAGCCTGCAGCCTGTACAAAAACAGGTCATGGGCTACATTTGGCCTCTGGGCCATAGTGTACCCTCTCTGTAGAGGGGAATGAGGTGGGTAGGTGGTGTTATACTCAGGAATGGCCACTCCTCTTGTTCTGCTGGGCTGTCGTTGTTGGGGAGTTGAGGTGGGTCTGGGTTTTACCCAGTCTGGTGTTGTGTATGTACCTTCCATCCCACTGGCTTCAAATTCCTCTAACCTTTCCTTGAGCTTAGGATGAGGGCTCAGTTGCCAAAGTGTCTTCATCCATGGCGACCTTGCCTCTGTGTCTGCCTTAGCTGCCCCTTATCTTTGGCAGGTCTCTACTAGAGAAAGTTCCTCTCCCTTCCCCCAAAGTAGGAGGACTCTAACAGTCTGACTTAAGATGGCTCCTAGACCCTCCCCGAGGGCTAGAGCAGATTGCCTTTTAGCTTCCCTGGCCACAGCAGTCTTCTGATTCTGTAGGTGAGAAGCTTCTTGTTAGGGCTTAGTGCTGTGGCGGCTCCCACTGAGAGACTGTTCAGTCTGCTCTTTCAGTCTACGTCTTAAAAGGTTTTTTTTTTTCTTTCTTTCTTTCTTTCTTTTTTTGTTAAGTAAATGTGCTAAGAAAGAGGTGCTGATTTTGAGCCTGGTTCCAATTACAGTACCCAGTCAAGAAGTGAATTTACAGCATTGTAAAGGCTGCCAGTAGAGGGGAATGGTAAGGAAAGTTGGCTCCACTCTGGTGATGAATTGAAGCTTCCAGTGGGTTGTCTAGCTGTTTTTTAGTGGTTGCTACAATGTATGCAAAGCTACCAGATTCTATGACTCCTGGGGCCATTCCCATGGAAAATAAACAATGTGAATTTTATATACCCAGTGACATTGTGTAAACTCAGTGGCCCTGATACGTGCTGCATGTGTATGTGGCCCCCGAGGGATGTGCTGCAGTTGGAGTGAAAAAGAAGTAATACTTTTTAAAACAATCTTATAAGTGGACAGAATGCTGGTGTCGACAGAGTCAAACTCTATAAAATAATTGAAGAGATTTGTTCTGAGCCAAATATGAGTGAGGTCGTCAGAACATGTGCCCAAGGTGGTTGGGGTGCAGCTTGGTTTTATACATTTTAGAGAGGTGTGAGACATCCATCAAAAACGTTTAAGAAATACATTGGTTTGGCCCAGAAAAGTGGGACAACTCAAAGCTGGGGGGCGTGGGGCTTTCAGGCTGTAGGTGAATTTAAACATTTTCTGATTGATAAAGACCTGGGATTGATAGAAAGGGAATGTTCAGGTTAAGGTAAAGATTGTGAACATCAAAGTGCTTTTTGAAGTCTTATGGTGGCTGCCTCAGAGACAATGGACGACAACTGTTTCCTACTCAGATCTTAGTTAATCTCTTTAGGATTGGGAGGGTCTCAAAGAAAAAGATCCAGCTATGTTAGTAGAGATTCTTTACAAATGCAGATTTTCCCCCACAAAGAACAGCTTTGCAGGGCCATTTCAGAATATGGCAAAGAAACATATTTTGGGGTAAAATATTATTATTTTCTTCCTTGTCTCATAATGTTATGCCAGAGTCAGGTTGGAGAGTCACGATATATAGGGTTAAATAAAACCCATCTGATGAGAATTTATGATTTGTAGGACATGACTCCCCAGACCCCTTAGATAGGAATTTGGGCAAGATTTTAAAAAATCAGAGTTTAGTCCTTACTAGCAAACGTAGAAAGCCCTCATCTTTCTAGTTTAGCACTTTAAAATTGTATGACTGTAGTATTGGAAGATGGTGGTTATTAGACTATTGAGTTTTTTGATGCTGCTTTTATGAGCTAAGCTTTTATATCATTGACTCCATTTCTAGATTAGCCTGTAGTTTTCTAAACTGTCAAACCTGTTATTCAGAAAGGCCAGGAACCCCTTGAGGGGTAGATTGCAGTAGAAAATTTTATTCTAGGCCGGGCGTGGTGGCTCACGCCTGTAATCCCAGCACTTTGGGAGGCCGAGGAGGGTGGATCACTTGAGGTCAGGAGTTCGAGACCAGCCTGACCAACATGATGAAACTCCATCTCTACTAAAAATACAAAAAATTAGCGAGGCATGGTGGCACACACCTGTTATCCCAGTTACTTGGGAGGCTAAGGCAGGAGAGTCTCTTGAGCGTGGGAGGCGGAGGTTGCAGTGAGCAGAGATCATGCCACGGTACTGCAGCCTGGGTGACAGAGCGAGACTCTGTCTCAAAAAATAAAGCAAAAAGAAAAAATAAAATTTTATTCTAACCCGAATCATTACCTTCCCCCTAGATCCAGATGCAGAGGTGTGCCTTCATGTACTGAGGCTTGTCCAGTCTGTGGTTCTGGAACCTGAAGTCTTCTCCAAGTCGGCCTCTGAGTTCCAGAGCTCCCTGCCCCTGCAACGCATCCTGGCAATGTCCAAGAGCCGCAACCCCCGCCTGCAAACCGCAGCCCAGGAGCTCCTGGAAGACCTCCGCACTCTGCAGCATAATGTGTAGGTGTGCTCGGCCACCAGGGTTTTGGTGAAAATGCCGGTGTCCCTTCTCCTCCCCAGATCCCTCATTTGATACTGCAAAACCATCACCGTGTGCCATGTGTTAGAGTTGTCAGAATGTGATTGACTAGAGATGGACCTGAATTGATATGTATCCCACATAACTTGCCTTGGAAGTGAGAGTACTTGTAGGTGGTTGGTTAAGCTTGCCAAGGAAGAGGACATGAAAGAACCTGGCCTTGCAGAAAAGTGGTCCATGTCTGCTGGCTGGAAGAGGGCTTGCTTAGGGCAGTTTCTTGCTACTCAAAAGACCATGACTGATAGGTTCACCTATAAAACAGGGAAATTAAATAACCATCTACCCCATTGGTCAGCATTTTCCTGAGATACATTTCTTTGAAAAGCAATTCATTCTCTCTCTAGTAATTGTAATCAATCACCCCAAAATGCAAGTTTACTTTTATAACCTTTTGGTGAACCTGCTATTTCGGATGACACTGGACATTTTAGTTCTATATTTTTTGTGCCTGTTTTATTTTTGAATAAAGAAAGTCAGAAGAGTTGTATTACAACCCCTGCCGTCTAAAATCTAAACTTGATACTAGGAAGTTGATCTTTGCATGTTACTAGTTACTCTTGGTTGGTGGAAAAAAACTCTCCTTAAACTGTTCCGGGCCCTTTGGCTATAAACTTAGATGTCCTATTTTTCTTAAAACAAATACTGTAAAAACAACTTGTATAATAGATTAGAACACATGCAGTTAGTTGAGATTCTGTAAATGAAATGATAGTTCCAGCTCCGTTTTTGTGCATGGGCGTGCCTGTATGCCAGGGCCCTGCCGTATCTGTCTTATCTACCTACTGGTTGCCATCCAGCTTGTTTTCTAGGCCACTGGCAGAGAATGAGGGAGAATGCACTTCATTTCTCACGGATACCATGATTGGTGAGAGTTGCCATTTGTATTAGTCTGTTTCACGCTGCTCTAAAGAAATGCCTGAGACTTGGTAATTTATAGAGGAATGAGATTTAATTGACTCACAGTTCACTGTGGCTGGGGAGGTCTCAGGAAACTTACAATCATGGTTGAAGGGGAAGCAAGGCACCTTCTTCTCAAGGTGGCAGGAGGGAGAATGAATGCAGGAGAACCTACCGAATATTTATAAAACCATCAGCTCTCTTGAGAACTCACTATCTTGAGAACAGCATGGGGGAAACCGCCCCCATAATCCAGTCACCTCCACCTGGTCTCTCCCTCGACACGTGGGAGTTACGGGGATTATAATTCAGGCTGCGATGTGGGTGGGACACAAAGCCTTACCACGTCACCATTTAAATCAATCCTTAGAGTCACGTTAGTGAACACATTCCCTCCTTTTCCTGGGCTGCTTCCTTTGGTGTGATGCTGAAGGGCTGCTGGGCTCTGGGCATGCTGTAAGAGCAAAACAAATGCAGGTGCACTCCACCAGTGGCAGCCCCATCTACAAGAATAAGCTGTTTGGTTGCATATGGCATTTAGAGTAACTTCATTTTTCTTTTAAGTAGATTTTTATAGGCAGTGTGCAATTTAAGGCTGAGGCTGAGTGAAGAAGTGTAGAGGAAGGCACAGTTGCTTGGATTTCGCGAGCCAGCATATTGTGGAACACTAGCTCATCTGAGCCAGAGGAATGTTGCAAAAGGCAATTTAAAATTCATGGAGGCAGAAATCGATCCATCTGTGCTGTGTGCTTCTGTAGGTCCTGATTATTGGTGAATAAAATTGAGAATGTTGTGTTTCTATGCTTAATAGCATGGTACTATCTTCTTTTTGATTGCTATTTATTTAATAAGGTAATGAGGGATGCTGCCTCTAGAACTACAGGACCTTTTCCTGCCAAAGATGGGGTCAACAGTGTATAGAGAGGAGTGAGCGTTGGCCAGACTCTTGGATGTTGTGTAGTTTAGGTAATTAGTGGATGGATGTGATTAAGAAGGATTATTTATTTTCTCCTGATTTTGAGGTGCTAAGAATAGCAAGAGTTCTTATGAAAACTCTTTCAGGAAGAAACATATGACAAATACATATTTTGAATGTATGTCCCAGGAAAAGTACATAAGGCCAGTTTTAAGGAGTGACTTGCCTCCCGCTCTTCATATGAAGGTCAACAGGAATACATAGGTTCTTTAATTTTTCTACAACTGGTGATCTAAAGAAAATGTCAGTTTTTGAAAAGGTATTCATAAAAGCATGTACTTTGCAGATCTTGTGAATTTTAAAATCAAAGTGAAATAGTGCATATATTTTGAAATGTATGTTTGTTTGTTTTAGACGGAGTTTCCCTCTTGTTGCCCAGGCTGGAAGTGTAATGGCGTGATCTTGGCTCACTGCAACCTCCGCCTCCTGGGTTCAAGCGATTCTCCTGCCTTAGCCTCCTGAGTCACTGGGATTATAGGCACCTGCCACCACGCCCAGCTAATTTGTGTTACTTTTAGTAGAGACAGGGTTTCACCATGTTGGCCAAGCTGGTCTTGAACTCCTGACCTCAGGTGATCCACCCACCTCGGCCTCCCAAAGTGCTGGATTACAGGCATGAGCCACGGCGCCTGGCCTATATTTTTATTTTTTATTTTTGTTTTTGGAGACAAGAGTCTTGCTTTGTCGCCCAGGCTGGAGTACAGTGGCGCCATCTCGGATCACTGCAGCCTCTGCCTCCTCGTTCAAGTGATTCTCCTGCCTCAGCCTCCTGAGTAGCTGGGATTACAGGCTTGCACCACCATGCCTGGCTAATTTTTATACTTTTAGTAGAGACGTGTTTTCACCATGTTGTCCAGCCTGGTCTAAATACCAGATCTCAAGTGATCCGCCTGCCTCGGTCTCCCTAAGTGCTGGGATTACAGGCGTGAGCCACTGTGCCCAACCTTGAAATGTAATTTTAACAGAATTCCTCTTACGTTTATTAAGTTAAGGAACTATTTTTCTCCTTGGCACCGTCAGTTTGTATGTAAAGATGTGAAACCTGGCAGGCCAGACGTCAGACTTGACTCCCTCCTTCCTCACCCCTTCCCCCACACAAGAGGCTCCGAGCAGGCCTCTTGCTGTCTGGCAGCTCATTAACCATCAGTGCTGCTTTCTCTTCAGTCTGAAAAGAGCAAACCCTTGTTCTGACTGAGAGCAATATGGAGACTTTTTGTGTGGCTTTGGAGACCTATGCTTCCTCATGGCGTAGCTTGGGATAAGCCTCATGGCACAGAGTTCTTCTAGTTCCGTACAGTTATATCGCCTGTGCCATTCACTCATTCCAGAGGATTTTAAAGTTACAGTACCAAGCATAGGATCACAGGTCTGGAGCCTGAAGAAAATTAGAACAAGGCTGGAAGTCAGGCCGTGGTCAAGGAAGTGTTGATGAAAAGAGTCAAACTCTGTAAAATATTTGAAGAGACTTATTCTGAGCCGAATGTGAGTGACCAGTGGCCTGTGACACAGCCCCAGGAAGTTCTGGAAACATGTGTCCAAGGTGGACGGGCCACAGTTTGGTTTTATGCATTGTAGGAAGGCATAAAACATCAATCAATAGATGTAAGATGTATAATACATTTGTTTTGTCTGGAAAGGCAGGACAATTGGAGGGGGCGGGGGGTGTGTTCCAGGTCACAGGCAGATTCAAAGATTTTTCTAATTAGCAATTGATTAAAAGAGTTAAGTTATTATCAGAAGACCTGGAATCCCTAGGAGTGAGTATCTGTTGTGGGGACCAAGGTTTTTATTATGCAAATGAAGCCTTCAGGTAGCAGGCTTCAGAGAGAATAGATTGGAAATGTTTCTTATCAGACTTAAAAAGGTACCAGACTCTTAGTTAATTCTCTCCTGGATCAGAGAAGAGGAAAAGGATTCTTTACAGAATGTAAATTTTTCCCCACAAGAGACAGCTTTGCAGGGCCATTTCAAAGTATGTCAAAGAAATATATTTTTGGGTAAAATATTTTGATTTCTTTCAGGGCCTGGTATCTGTCATGTGATGCTATACTAGAGTCAGGCTAGAATTTGGTGTCTTATTGCAACAAAAAGTCTCAAGATCTCTGTTTTAATGTTTATACCGGTCAGTTGTACCTGGATTCCAAAGGGCGGAGGGCATAATGAGGCATGTCTGACCTCCACTTCCCATCATGACATAATGAGGCTTGTCTGACCTCCACGTCCCATCACGGCCTAAACTAGTTTTTCAGGCCAACTTTGGAATGCCCTTGGCTGAGAGGAGGAGTCCATTCGTATGGTTGAGGGACTTAGAATTGTATTTTTGATTTACAGAGGTTTTGAATAAAGCTTGTAAATGTGCCTGCCCATTCCATTGATTTGGCTGGACCTGCCATTAGCTATTTTGCCACACATTAATATAAATGGAAAAGGTTGATAAAAACTTTTGTAGACTTACTAATTTTCTGAGAAGTCCTGAAGTTTGCTTTGCTGTCTTCCATGGCATAGATGCTGAGAATGCCTCAGAACTTCTCCAGCCAGCGTAGGATCCTGAGTATAGACCCTGATACAGTGTAGGATGTGGCATCCTGTAGGGCATTGCAAGGTCTTTGGACGCTTTTTGCGTCCAGGCTCAGGTAAGAAGGGCAAGAGATAACTGTACACCTCTGTCTTCACAAACTCTCTCTTTAAGAGCCATGGCTGCCTCTCTGCTCTGAGAATGCACACATTTAAATTTATCTCCAGATGTAGAATAAGAAATCCGAGTCTTTGAATGTGCTAATTAGTGCATGCTACAAAATGAAAACTGTTGTTACTGTCCTTTTTAATTTGTAATTTTAAAAGTTTTAAAATTGTTAAATATGCCTAACATAAAATTCATGTTTTAACCATTTTAAAGTGAAGAATCAGTGGCATTAAATATGTCACAGTGTTTTATAATCATTACCATTATCTGTTTCTGAAACTTTTCTTCATTCTAAACAGAAACTCTGTACCCATTATATAACAACCCGTTCCCTAAACCTTTCTCCCCTGGCCCCTAGTATCTGCTCTTCTCTGTCTCCATGCATTTGACTACTCCACGCACCTCATAGAAGTGGAGTCATACGACCTGTGTTCTTTTGGGTCTGGCATATTTCACTTAGCATCGTGTCCTCAAGGTTCACCTGTGTTGTAGTGTGTGTCAGAACTTATTCCCTCTTACGGCTGTATCATCCAGTGTGTGGACGCAGCACCTGTCATTCATATATCCATCTGTTGAGGGACCCTTGGCTTGTTTTCACCTTTTGGCTGTTGTGAATAGTATTGCTGTGAACATTGGGGTACAGGTATCTGTTTGAATTTCTGCTTTCAATCTTTTGGGGTGTGTACTTAGGAGTGAAATTGCTGAATCACATGGTAATTCTTTGTGTAACTCTCTGAGGAACTGCCACCTGCTTTCCACAGCAGCCACACCACTTTCCATCCCCACCAGCAGCAGTGCTTGAGGGCTCCGGTTTCTCCACGTGCTCATCAACATTTGTTATTTTCTGTTGTATTGATAATAACCATTGATAATGGGTGTGAAATGCATCTTATTGAGGTTTTCATTTGCATTTCCCTAATGATGAATAATGTTGA